GGAAAAATTCTTTAATGGAATTGTTCCACTTTTACCAAGCCGTTACTCTTACCTTTCTCCCTTTATCACTTTCTTCCAACCCCCTCTCTTTCCTCATATTTTCCAACTTAGTTTTGTTTTCTTTCTCGTTTTTCCTTTGTGTGGTACTGTTTTTAATTTTTTTTTTTCTATTTTTTTTTTTCTGTCGGTTTTCGTTTTTTTCTTTGATTTTTTCACTTTTTTTTTTTTCTTAATCGTTTTAAATATTAAATTAATTAGATTGCTAACAGTTTACAGAGGATGAAGATAGCGAAGAAAATAGCGAATCAACACTCAGTTTACCTAGCCTCAGCAGCTCGTACGAAAGTCCACCTTTTACCACAAGCACCGTCTTGCAGTCACTCATACCGCACCCTGAAAGCGAACCTGAGGCTTCACCATGGGTGGACATTCCAAGTAGAGGAGCATCTACCACCCGACAAGAAATCTCACCCTCTCTTCGTTCAAAAATCCGTGCATTAAAGCACTTTGCCGGTTGGACGTACCGACATATTGCTAGAACTACTGGCGTTGCTGTTACTACAGTTTTCCGTATCTGCAGACCCATAATACCACAGAAACGGCCATCTACTCGTGGGCGGAAACATATCTTAGGATCTGAAGAGCGCAAGCTACTGATCACAGTAGCTACGGAGTCTGCCGAGAATCGTCGGAAACCTCTAACAGAGATTGCATACCTAGCTGGAGTTTCTGCTTCTGAAAAAACCTTACGGAAAGCATTGGCCTATGAAGGATATCATAGGCGTGTGGCACGAGTTAAGCCGTACCTGAAGCCTTCTCATATAGCTGTAAGACTCTTTTTTCTTTCTTTCTAATTTCTATTTCTCTTTATTTTTACATTTCATACTCGTTTGTTTATTTTTTTTCTTCTTATCTCTTTGCTTTACCTTTTTTTTTTTTTTTCTTTTTGTTTATATGTTTTTCTTTTACTTCTATAGGTATGCGTGTATTAGTATGTATTCTATTTTTCTATTTAATTACTCGTACATTAATTCAAAAGACTATTACTCCTTTTTTTTATACTACTTAATACTATTTACATTAATTATTAACTAAATTTGAATTATTAGGCTCGAAGAGACTGGGCACTTCAATTTGCCAATTGGCAAATTGAAGATTGGCAGAAGGTAATATGGACCGATGAGAGCGCCTATAACGTGGGTGGGTCGCCTGGTCGTGTCTATGTCACCCGAACGGCAGCCGAGGAGTTCCACCAAGCATGTCTTCTTCCGAAGTTTAAAAAACTAGAAACAGTTCTTGTTTGGGGCTCCTTTTGCGGAACGCAAAAAGGGCCCTTAATATTTTGGGACAAAAAATCTATGGGAAAAACCATTAATGCTGAGGGATATTGTAAGTATATTGTGCCATATCTGGCAAGCTTCTGGAATGAGATTTCGCAGAAAACTCAAGATTATGTTTATATTGTTCAAGATGGAGCTTGTCCCCATACTGCTAACTACACTAAAAAGGTCTATACAGCGAAGGGCTTGTTGAACTATGTTTTTCCTTGGGCAGCGTGCTCGCCAGACCTTAACTTAATTGAGGGGGTCTGGCGACTTATCAAGTCCCGAATTCATAATCGTACACCCCGTCCCCAATCCAATGACCTTATGCGCAAGGCCATTCAGGAGGAATGGGACAATATTTCTATCCAAGATTTAGAACTCTTGTTGTATAGTATGCCAGAACGGGTTCAAGCTGTTCTGGCTGCTAATGGGGGACATACTCGGTATTAAGTTTGACTTTATTCTATTTATTATTATTATTATTATTATTATTATTATTATTATGATATTATGATTATTATGATTTTCTTATTTCTTTTTTCTTTCTATTTTTTATTTTTTATTTGCAAAATTGGAAATAACTTGCATGAACTGAATTTCATTTATTCTTTTCTTTCTTCTTTGGAAATTTCATTTATATCTATCCTATTGCTATATTCATTATTATCATTTTCCCGATTTTCCACTTGACTCTATTCTATTGATATTATTTTTCTTATCATAATGCTTGATTTCTTTCCTTTTCTATATTCAAAACACTTTTCTACTCATGTAGTCTAAGTACTTATTTTTACTCCGCAAAGTCACCCTGTTCCATTACTAGTAAGACACACATCCCTGCTCTGTACCATCAATTTATGCCTGTCCCTTGTACTATCAAATAATATGAGAACAACTTATTACTAAGGTCGACCACTCCGCGCCTGCCAAACCAGACAAGCTGAAAATTCGTTTCCGGTTTCTCCCCCACTTCCCAGTCGACCGGTGCCAAGCCCACTAAACGCACTTGGGATGAAACGCACCCAACAGCAATCCCCGAATTCTTGGCCACAAGCCAAGACTACCAGCGCAGCGCGTCCTTTGTACAGTACCAGTGCCCGGACTATGTCCACAATACCGCTACAGCACTCGAACAAACCACTGCAATTCATTTTCCTGGACCTTCCTTTCTCCTCTCGCAATGTCGATGCCTGCAAATCCGAACCCGGATCGTGCCGGGCGGCAGGCGAGGCCCGATATGGTACGTGGTGAAACCGCCCGTGAATTATTTAACAACTTGAAATGGTGGTGGTTGACGGGGAAGCTCCAGAGTCGCTCTTCATCGATAATAATCCCCGCAACTGGCCTGCGGATACATAGGTCTTCAACGAATCTTCCAAGGAATTATACGCTTAGGAGGTTAGTCTGCTTCCCTCATCCCGTCTCAGACCTAAGTGAAGCTAACCCCCGCACAGCGAACCAACGCCTCCGCTCCCCCGTCCCGCACCTGACTCTGATGACGATGGCAATGAAGTGTCGGACAGAACTCCATTGCTTGGGGGCGGAGTAAGCTTCGCAAGGAGGGGAAGGGTAAGGTCGGGGTTGAGGCGTGGAAGGAGGTTGGTGAAAAGTTGGTCTGCCGGGCTAGATCATGAGATCTGGAAGAAGGTTATCAAGTGCTCGTTGGCATATTGGGTTGGGAGTTTGGCTACGTGTGTTTCTCTCCCATGGGCTTGATGGAAGGGGTGACTTATGCGGAGGATAGGTTTGTCCCGGTGATCTCGGCGTTTTTGGGGAGATATGATGGAAAGCATATGGTATGGCTCCTCGCTCTGCCGGCGGTTGTACTGCAGATGGGATGGGATGAGATGGATAGCGCTGATCTGTCTCACGACGTGGGTTTAGGTTGCTACATGTGCCGGTAGGATCCGGTGTATCCGTGCTTGATTGAGTGGGTATGTGGTTGGCTCACGACTTGGTATTCGCGGCTAGTCTATTTCCATCCGGGTAATTACTTCATGATCTAAAAGCTTATTGATGATTATTGCCTAATTTTTGGGATTGGATGGGGATTAGCTCGGTCTGCTGGGAGTATGCGTTTCCCACATCCGCTACAGTATGCTTGCGCATTTCTGATCCTTCTCCTTCCTTAGGTATGCATGAAGCGACGATATTTGCGCTGGCTGCATTTCTATATAGCACAATTATTTCCATCGGGAGGTATGTCGGAGGAACGTTTTTCCAGACACATGAGCACAAGTTGATGCTAACTGTGTTAAACAATGAACAGCATGGGAGTTTCACTGCTATTTTATCAATTGGAATTGATTGAATTAGGACATGCCATCGTTCTCACCGTGTTCTGCGCTGGTGGATTAGGGTTGATTGGATACACCAAGATCGCCATGTCCAGTCCGACGGTCAGCGTAGCTTGTTCGCTAGCCTCTATATCCATTATCACTATTTTAACTAAGGAAGGTAATCTAGTAGAGTATCCGCTGGCTCGCATGGCCCGCTTGCTCACAATTTGTAGGGAGCGTCCAACGTGGCGACTTCACCATGGGAAAGATATACCAGGTGTCCACCATTGTAATAATGTCGATCGTTATATCAAACTTTCTAGCTTTTACTTTGTGGCCCACATCTGCGGTCGGAAAACTTAGGCAGTTGATGATTAGGTCTACTGATTCTTTCTCGGCCATGGCATGTTACTCGCCGTTATTCCATCGAGTGATGAACTGTGCTAACCTAGCAATAGTTGACTATCATCACCCGCAGCTTTCTCAACGGAAGTGAGGACGAGCTACTTGGGGAAAACTTCAAAAGCGCCACGACTAATCACAGGACCGTGTTTACGTCTTTGATAAAAAATCTTAAAGAAGCGAAGTATGAGCACTGCCTCCGCGGCACGGAGCAAGAATACGAAGTCGAAAAGCAACTCATCGAGTGCATGCAGCGACTAGCTCAACATATTGGTGGTCTTAGGAGTGCCGCTTCAACCCAGTTTACCCTTTTAGCCACTGCCCAGGAGCACCGGGCGAATGCAAAGTCGGGTGGTGCTAGTGGAGGGATTCCTATGAATCCTCGAGAGGACGCGACTGACGGCCCACAGCTTTTCACTCCTCCAGATCATGACCAGATCGCAGCTCCCTCCCGGTTTGCCTCAATTTCCGAAGCCACTTCCATCGCCGGGAGCGACATTTCTACAGTGGAAGAGGACACCACCGCGCCGATTAGGATATTCGACCAATTTATTTTCCACCTTGGTCCTCCCATGAAGTCCCTTGCGTATACTTTAAAGCTCACACTTGATGATCTGCCATTTAACACCGGTAAAACGCACAGGATCCATGTGAACAGGGAGTTTAGAGGAAGTCTAAGTCGAGCAATAGCGCTCTACTCGGAGACAAGAATCGAAGCGCTGAACACGCTTTACAAAAGCGAGGCTGTGACAAAAGAACGCCCGATGATGGAGGCCGCTGACGTAGAAGAAATTGCGGCGAGTTGCGGATACTTTTCATATTGTCTGCTATATTTTGCCGAAGAGATGCTTGTATTTCTTGGCCTTCTCGAGGAACTAGAAGACTTGCAGGCGAGGAAGCCGCGGTCGTGGGAGTGGGCCAAGTTCTGGAAGCTCAAGAAGAGCAGGAAGACTGCCGAAGAAGAAAATTGTGATTCCTATGGCTATGCCTTTTTTTCGACCATTTTCTAATACCCCCTACTGTAGTAGTGACCCCAACCAATAACGCTAGCAACGTTGACGGTTTCACCCTCAGGCGGACAAATACCATTCCGAACGTCGCTCCGGAAACCGGCATGCCATTCACTTATAAAGTGTGGAAAGCGTTGAGTCTATTCCGGCAGCATAACGTGCAGTTTAGTATCAAAGCCGGCGTGGGCGCTGCCATCTACGCTCTTCCAGCATTCGTACCCCAGACACGGCCGATATACTCCCGCTGGCACGGGGAATGGGGTCTGGTTTCTTACATGATAGTCATGTCCATGACCCTCGGCCAGACGAACAACTCTGGCAAAGCAAGAGTCTTGGGGACATTCTTGGGATCGATTCTAGCGCTCTTCGCCTGGTTCGTCTTCTCCACGAACCCATACACACTCTCACTCTTCGGCTGGGCCGTCTCAATCCCGTGTTTCTGGGTCATCCTAACCTGGAAGCAAGCTACCTTTGGCCGCTTCATTCTGCTAACTTACAACCTCTCCGTCCTCTACGCCTACTCTCTCGCAACCTCCTCCACCGGTGGGGGGGACGACGATGACGATGAAGGCGGCACGAGCCCGATAATCACTAACATAGTCCTCCACCGCTCGGCAGCCGTAACCGCCGGCGTCCTCTGGGGCGTCTTCATAAACTTCGCGATCTGGCCCACCAGCGCGAGGAACAAACTCCGCCACGGCCTGGGTGTGCTCTGGCTGCGCATGGCTCTAATCTGGCGTCACGACCCACTCCTCAGCCTACTAGAACCCACCACCACGGCCAATCCCGACCACCACAACGGCCACAGCCAGAAGAAATACATGAACATAACCGAGGAACACGCTCTCCAAAGTGCCCTCCTTCGCCTCGGCCGCCTGACAGACTCTGCCCCGCACGAATTCCGCCTAAAAGGCCCGTTCCCAGCAAGCGACTACAAAAACCTCATCGTGGCCAGCCAAGCCATGCTAGACGCGTTCCATGGCATGGCCGTCATGATTGCCAAAGACCCGCGCGCAAACCGCCGCGAAGCGGAGATCCTGGCGCATACCCGCCGCGAACGAGAGGACCTCTGCGCTCGCATCAGTCACTTGTTCTACGTGCTGGCCGGCTCGATGAAGTTGGGTTTCCCGTTACCGGGAAGTTTGCCCAAAACGGATAGAGCTAGGGACCGCTTGTTGGCGGCGCTGTTCGAGTTCAGGAAGAGGGTTCGCGGGACGGAAGGGGATTCAGATGAGGATTTTGCGTTGATTTATGCCTATGGTTGGTTTTCCCTTCACGCTTTCTTGAGGTTGGGGTTGGAGCTAATCCGGGGGCGTGGGTAGCGTTGGTTACTGGCAGGATATCGGAGGGGCTGTTGGACGTCATTGCTACGGTTGAGAGGCTTTACGGCGTACTTGAGGAGGAGATGCTGGTTATTTGAAGTGGTGGAAGGGCAGCTGGGTGGTGATGAGATGGCTGCCTTTGTCCATTTGTTTTTTTTATCCCCCGTTTGTTTATAATATACCCATTGATACCCCTGAATTCATGATACTTAAAAAATTATCGGAAAAAGTTGCCTGTCTATTTTTTTTTTTATTCGCTTGGCAGTTTGTTCACAATATATCCATAGATATCCCCGAATTCACACCTAAAAAAAATTACCGGTGACCCGGGAGTCACGAGAATTCCACCCAAACAACCCACAGTCAAGCCAGAAGGTAATGATAGACGAAAAATCACGAAAAATCACTCGCTCTTAGTGTCGGATTCCGAAGTCGTCCGCCTCACAGACTAGTCTCTTTTCATCTAGTCTCTCTCGCCATTCACTGTTTCCTCCTCCCCGTTAGTCCGGGCTTCATCCATCCCTTCCCATCCCTTCCCCATTCCTCCCGCGATCCCACAACTATCATGCCCAACTACGAGTGCGGCCGATAGATATATCCGTCACGTGAGTCCGATAAGAAAATCTCGGTGCACCTTTTGGCTGCGATGTGTCTTTAGATAAGGCACGTGGCGAACATATTTATCGGCAGCACTCGTACACCCCGGCCCACACTCTCGGTATGATAGAACCGAACGGAGTACCAAAGAGGGTTTGCGCCCGCAGACCTACCGTACCTAGGCGGCCCCCACCACAAAAGGACCTACGGTACATAGATTCCGGAAAGAGTTTGCACACAGGATCTAGGTGACCTAGGTTACAGCAGGCGAGCGCAACGTGAGCGAGGAGTCGATCGCCAGAGCAGAGAATATAGAATCAATATCACACGACTGGTATTTTTCATATCGTTTATTCCTCTCGGAGATGCTTTACGCTTGGTATCTGGAGAAATATGTTTGGTGTTGTATATTTTCGAGGTTGTTATGTTGCCTACGGCAGGAACCACACTAGGTCTTTGAAGTTGACGTTTGCGCCTTGACTGGGTGCATTTGGGCGTCCGGGTCTCCAAGGCTTTTGGCGTAGCATGTAGACTATTATTGGAGTTTACTGCTGCCTGGGTCCTGCGGGCGCAAACTCTCTGATATCATATGCTTATAGGAATCACAAGTAGTCACCTATGTATAGTGATATCCGGAGCGGTCGCTCGCCTACCTGCAGATCTAATCTTGATATTGTGGTATGTTGTATCATAATATAACTTGCGGCATCTCCCAGAGATTGGTAGGAAGGGAGAGGTAAGATCGATGACGAGAATCGTCCTCCGAAATCTGGTTTCCGAACCGTATTACGATATAGATTGGGGGAGGGGTACGGTTCGGGAGGTGGAGAGTATGGAGATCTGATAAGGTTGAGCTGGGTGGTATCATATGAGTGCAGCCGATAGATATATTAGTCACGTGCATTATCTCTGGACACCACAACCAGAAGACCAACCAAATTTTTATCTTATCAGACCCACGTGACTAATATATCTATCGGCCGCACTCGTAGGCAGGGTTTGGTATTCTGTATGATACGGTAGGTTAGTCATTGAGGTGCAACAGGTGCGATTTGGCAGGCCCGAGTGCGGTTGCTTAATACGTGCTCGCCGAATAGTCCGTGTATATATTATACGGTGTGAAAGAATGTGTACTGAACCACTCACATCCACAAACTATTGCCATACCAACAAATCGTTTGGGGGAAGAAAAAAAGAAAAAAAAGACTATGCATATCATTATCCTTCCTGCCCTTCTTACTAACTGCCACTCCACACCCAATAGCTAAAATAGAAGAGGAAAAGAAGTGAAAAGAAGGAAAGAAACCCGAGCATATCATACCAGCAAACAATCAAACAATCAAGTAACCCCTCCCCCTGACTACAACCACTAATAACCCCGATCTTATGTACACCCCCCAACAAACCTTCAATCAACTAAAGCAGTACTCCACCACCCCACTTCAGTAAAGGAGATTAACTATGCGCTTCCAATCATCCATTCGGTTCACGTAGGCAAAGAAGTTGCAGGAGAGAAGAGAAAAAAACAGTAAGAGTACAAATAAGAAAACACCGGGCATTTGGGGGGGAAGATTTTTTGTCGTGTCTCGCAAGCAGGCGTGGATGGGACGTTACTAGGTACAGGGGGGGGGAAGCAAGGGAACCCCATATAGGATAGGAGAAAAAGTGAGAATTGAATTGATAGTGAAAACGGGGAGAGAAGCTAGGGGTAGATGGGGGGAAGGGATTAGTAGTAGGAGTTTTTACTTTTTTTACTTTCATGGCTTTTTGTTTTTTCAAAATCGAAGGAGATATTGTGGTGAGAAGTTGGAACATGAAGGAGGAAGAATGCGAAGAAATGAAGTGACATAAGTGGAGGAATGGGAATAAGGGAGAGATGATATTATTCGTCGCCGATGTCAGGCATTTCTTCGTCTCCGTCTCCGTCGGGGGGTACCTCAGCCTCGGGATCTGGCTCCGACTCCTCATCTGAAGATTCTGCTGCTTTCTCCTGGTCTTCCGGCTCCTCTAGGCCAAGTTCTCCCTCTTCCCCGCCCTCTTCTCCTTCATCCTCGTCCTCGCCCTCATCCTCTGCGTCTTCGATAACAGGTTTGGGGGATGCAGCTTTAGGCCTCGGAGTAGCCTCCACATCCTCATCACCACCCCCCTCGTCGGCGACCGCCTCACTGGGCTCCTCCTTCCGCCCCCTTAGCTTTCTCATGACCGGCGCGACCTTGGGCTTCTCTCCAACGTCCAGGTGATTAACGATTTCCCGGAAATTCGGCCCCAGCCGGCCCTTATTCCTGATAAGTCTCTTCTTGAAAACCCTCTCGTCGATTGCCCGCGACAGAGCCGCAAGTACAAGCTTCCCTGTAAAGTCGCACAGGCGCTGTTCGTGCAGGAGTACGTTGCTCTCGCTTCGATCCTCCGACGAGGAATGTTCGTCATCGTCTACGGGTTCGTCACTCTCGCCGGGCTCGAGGGCCTTGAGGGCTGCGTTTGCAAATGACTTTTCCAGAGTTTCAAAGATTTTAAGGAGATCGGCTTGTACGGACTTGTCGAGTTTTTTACCGAGCGCTGATATTCGCGTTGCTAGTTCAGAGGCTTCGGGGGTATCGGGTTCGTCGTTGACGGCGCCATTGTGGGCGGGTTTACTAGAGCTGATGCGGGCTCCTGCACCGATGAAGAGTGTTGCCAGACCTAAGAGGGCGGCGCCAGAGGTGATTTTCATAGCATCAATGTTTTTCCGCGTCTTAGTTATTGCGATTATTCTCTCCATTACTGTCTCGCCTCTTGTCGCGAGTTGGTCGGCATCAATGTCCTCCTGGTCTGCAAGGGTGCTGATCTTCCACATGAAGTAGAACTCTAGCGTTTTCATCGTGCGGATAATGAGCTCTTCTTCGAGTTCATCTGATGTACCGCCGCGCCTGAGGAGTTCTATCAGTGCCTCAACGGGTTTGAGACTGTCCTGGGGCCCTGATGACGCAATGGGGGGCTCCTCCATAATCTCGACACAGTTTGTTATCGACGCGATGTATTCTAGTCTGCGAACGGTGTTTATCAGCTCTGTTAGACTTGCGTCGCTGAATTTGCCTTTTCCTAGATTTTTGCCTCGAACGGCGTTGACAAGCATGGTGACGGTCTCATCCTTGAGTTGACTGAGCTTTTGTTCTGTGACCTCGTCGAGCTCTTCAAACGTTTTGGCGTGGAGAATTGCGGCACTTGCTTCTTTAAGGACGGACTCGTCGGCATGGGTAAGGAATTGCCGATTTATCTCCTCGAGCAAGGACGCGTAGGCAGTCGACTGACGGAGTTCCTGGAACACATCGAGCTTCATCAATTGCTCAAGGCGCAGAACAGAAGCGGCCGCGTCCGGATCTGGACCGAACTTCTTGAGAAGAGGAGGTATATACTTGGTTAATCTCCTAGAGACAGCCTCGTAATGCTTCTCGATTTCCTTGCCGGTGCGCTACGACCGAATTAGCGCAAGTATGGTTAGGAAAGAGTGGTGATATACATGCCTTGGTTGTGCCTTTCTTTCTTGCACCTAACTCACCACCTTCATCAATACTCGCGGCAACACTGGCGTTCAATATATGCAGCAATATAGCCTCCTCCCTAGGATCTAAAGCGATAGCACTCTTGATGCGCTTCTCCACATCCTCTTCCTCGGCTCCGGGGTCAAGACGGTTGGCCGAGTGGTCGTAAAGTAGGTATCTTGCGATAATTTCCCAATCGTGAATCTCTTCAACCTCCTCCCAAAGCGAACCCCCGGCAAGGGAGAATCGACTCTCTATATGATCGCCAAGTTTTGTAACAGTACCATTACTCCTCTCGGCAACCTGAGACTGGCCATCTGGATCGTCCCCTGCATCCTGCGAATCATAGGAAGCCAACGCCTCCACGAGACATTTTAATCTGATCCAGCCGAGGGTAGGCCCTTCGTAGTTCTCGTCTTCGGTATCGTCTCCTAGTGCTTCTTCAACGGCTTCTTCCCCGCCGAGGTCCCCTAACCGCTCTTGGAGAACGTCCTTAAGGTTTGCAACGAAGAATCCGACGACGGCACGGCGAACCTTGGGCTCGGAATCGAACAGGAGTCTACCAACGGTATCGACATCGGAAGGCTCGAGATAACCCGCCTCCCTAACAGCGTCTAGCAAGTCGGCTGCCGCGGCCCTAACGTTGGTATCCGCATCTCGCGCTGCCATCTCAACCATTCTCGGTCGGAAGCGCTCGGTAAAGTGCCTAAGGTTTGATATCGATTCTTTTCTCTTGAAGAGCTTAGTAAGCGCCTTCACGACTTCGAGACGAGTTTGCGGGGTTGTATCCGAGAGAACCCAGCCAAGGTACCGAAGGTAGGATCCGTCGAAGAAGAGATCAGGCAGAGTCAGAATCCATGAACCAAGCTCACGGACACAATCGGAGCGGATCTTAGCATCAATATCGCGGTACCGGTGGACGAAGACACTAGGCAAATAACACATGTTAGTCAGACTTTATCTATCATCATCCCCGAAATTGGAACATGCATGTTGAAAATATCCTTAATCACGGTTTCTATCGCCTCTCTTCTTTCCTCTCCATCCTTTAATTTCTGATCGAGCGCGCTAATCCGACCCTCATTGCGGCTGGACTTTTTCTTTTCGGCCTCAAGTTGTCTGTTTGTTGTGCTGTTGGCCTTCCTCGCCTCTGCCGCGATTTGCGCGAGGCAACTCACAAACTCTAGGGCAACAATAGTAGAGGTGTGCCGGAATTGCCTTAGCGTGGAAGAGGACATGGCAGTTATCCACACCTCAATCCCTTCCATAAGCCCAGGATCGGAGTATAGAAGCTCTCGAGCAGCGAACGTAGTGATCAGGGAGTGGAGGAAAGACGCAAGAATCGGGCGAAATCGTCTGAATTCGGGCTTTTTGGAGGCAAGAGGGTATTCGGTGTTTTTTTGCTTGAGGGAGTTATGATCAGCAGACAGTTCCCATCATTCTATATCGTATGGGGTATTAACTCGTTGAAAGGCCTCTTGGATTTGTGAGAGGGTGGTATTTGCGGTATCTTGATCTTCAATGTCGTAGTCGGTGACAAATTTATGGCAGCCACAACACTATGGTAGCAATTAAGTCAGTTTCCGTCTGACCGAACAGGCTAACTGGAGGCAGTGGGATGGCATGCTTTAAGAATAAAATTGACCAATTCCTTCATAGCCTCTCGACTGTTCTCCTCATACTTGATTGTCCACGCCTGCGCGACATCATCGTCATCGTCCCCTTCAAACACCGATTCTGCGCTACAGTAAGCATCACCCCACAACCTCCAACGCGTCAACGAAGTCAGGCCTTCGGGAAAGGGAAAGAAAATAGTCCTACCATAGAGATCGTTATGCGCGGATTCAGGTTCCTCTTCCTCATTATCGTCATCTCCATTGGCGGCCCTTGGCAGTGGCTTTGCAACGGCCTTGCCCTTTGTCCGCTTAGTCTGCTCGGTAGTTGTTCCCCTAGCGGGGGGAGCGGTATCGGTGGTAATTGATGTTCGCGGCTTCTTGGTAGGCGGCCGCTTGACGGGAGGACTAGTAGCACGACCTTTACCCCCACCGCCACTATCTCCCCGCCCTCCAACGCCTCTAGCCACAGTGTTCCTTCTCCTCCGATCTTTTTTCTCCTCTTCATCAGGTTCGCCCTCATCCTCATCTTCCTCGGAAGATTCCTCAGTAGTCTCTGCCTCGCTGTCCTCTTCCTCTCCATCATCATCATCATCGTCATCATCATCGTCGTCATCCTCACCATTATCGCTCCCACCTCCGGCTTCCTCCTTTTCACCCCCACTTCCTTTTTCACCCCCATCTTCCTGTTCCCCCTCCTGCTCCTCCTCTTCCTCCACAGGCCGTTTCCGTTTCGCTCGTGAAGGTTTCGGTGGAGCTGGCTGCGAAGAGTAGGGTAAAATCGGCTTTTTAACAACCCTGGTAGAGCGACGGCGATTGCCAGTTTCTGCGCCGTTCTGCGTGTTGTCATTGTTCCCGGGGGGCGCTACTGCTGCTCCGGCAGTGGTAGACGCGTTCTCGTCTGCGGTCTCTGCGGCGCCGACGCCGCTATCGCCGGCGACGGCATTGTCGTCGCTTGTGTCCATTGTGTCAGGGGGAGTGGACGCGATGCGGGAGGGCATCTGTGTGCTTGTTAGAGGGATAGAACGGGCTTGAGGCGAATTGTTTGTGACCAGATGTGCGCGTGTTTATTTATTTTTCGGTGCCCAGAGGAGGAGTAATGATTGTTGGAGGAGTGGTGGTGTGTAAGTCGCGTGGGGAGAAGGGTGGGGGGCAGAAGGGAAACAAAGAAGAAAGGGAAACGGATTTGTTGGGGTTGGTTTCGGCGGTGGGCACCGGAGTTGGTGGGTGATGATGGTGGCAGCGGTGGTGGTGGACGTGTTAGAACGAGCCTAACTTCACTTAACCGGTCGCTCGGGGGAGGGGGGTTGTTGAAGGCAAGAGAGGGCGATGGGCTTCCCTTCCTTCCCCTGTCCTGGCTAGAAATTGGGAAAATAATACCGGAAGATGAGGGAAAAAGAGCTGGTGGCTGAAGATGCCTGAAATCCGTCCAGACTCAATCCTCTAGGAGTAGCTTCCATCGAGGGACTCTTGATAATGCCCGTTTGATGCGCTATCAAATTTTGTTTTGAATTCCCTTGATCTCTTGCGGAATGGCGGGTAGGGTTAGGGTATGAGTGAATGCCTAACCCATCGTCACAAATGCTCACTCACAATCTCGATTCCCACTTTTCTCTCAATAATTTCACGTGACCACCCCACACATCGCACCTTAGTATCATACAGTTAATTCCCCTTCATCCCGTCCCATCTCTGCCCCCCCCCCCCCCCCCGTCCAGCCACCACCACCGATGCCGAAACCGCCACCGGTCGCACCGCCGCTCACGCCTTCAAAGCCAACTCCTCTCCCTGGCCACGGCTCAATCCACGCTCGCCTCCTCCCCCCCTCGCAGACCACCCTCCCCCACCTCCACTTCACCTACCCCCTAAAACTAATATCCACCCCGTCCCCGCCCTCAGCGACCAACACTTACCAGACAGTCTTCCAACTGACCTACGGCGGAGGCCTCGTCTCAAATGACCAGGTTTATCTGCGGATTGTGTTAGAACCGAGTTCAAAGTTATGCCTGTTGACACAGGGTAGCACCAAGATATTCAAGCAAAAAGTCGACGGAGATATGACGCGGCAAGCGCTCGATGTGAGGTTATGCCAGGGGGCAAGGCTGCTGTTACTGCCAGACCCGCTGCAACCGTTCGAAGGGTCGGTGTTTTCGCAGATTCAGAGATTTTGGTTGGAGGAGGACGAAGAAGGGGGAGGAGGAGGGATGGTGGTGTTGGATTGGGTCACTGAAGGACGAGCGGCGAGAGGCGAGAGGTGGGAATTAGAGAGGTTTGAGAGTCGGAATGAAGTTTATTGTGTTGGTTCTGGGAGGTTGTTGCTCAGGGATGCGCTGGTGTTAAACTCCATATCCTCCGCCAGCACTGGGGAGGAAAGCTTACGCGGCAGAATGGACGGCCTGGTGGTGTTCGCGACATTGATAATTCGAGGTTCCGCATTTGAGGGGTTGGCTACCTTTGCGAAAAATAAGTTTTCGATGGAGCCGAGGATTGGGGGAAGGAATTTTGACACCGGCGATAATGGAAAGGTGGGGGGTGAAAAGGGGAGGAAGAGGAGGGATGTGTTGTGGACAGTATCGGAGGTCAGGGGGTTCGTGCTGGTGAAGGTTTCGGGCTGGGTTCTGGAAGAGGTTAGGGGTTTTTTGAGAGAAGTTTTGATGGATGGCGGGGACGTAATCGGGGAGTTTGGAGAGGATTGTTTTTTATGTTTGCGGTAGCAACGGTGGGCCATGACAGGATATCGGGGGCTAGAAGCGAGTGTATTATATATAGCCCAGGTAGGGAGTCGAAGGGGGGCTTCTTTCTGGAGGTAGATACCCTAGTTGATAGAGATGTAGGATTATCTGTGGTGTGATATGGTGCGATGGGCCCTCGGGCTGAGAAGCACAGAGTGGGTTTCTTGAAGAGGTGCCAGTGGTTTCTATCGTTGAAGTATCGTAGCTTTCTCTGCGTCTCTGGCATGATGGACCCTCAACTACGAAGGCGCACCGTAAACTCTACCTACCAGTTGGCATGGCCACCAACACCCCCGGAACCCGCTTTCTTGTAGAGAATAACCAGGACCAAGCGGGGTCGTACTGGTGCTCGATCAGCACGGAGTCTGAACGTCCCGTGCCGAAGGGGCGAATGATGTTTCCGGGGTATCACATAGTCCTCGTACAAGATGGGTGGGCTGCCGCAGACCCTATGTTTCGCCAAGATTTTCGTGCCAGGTACGATACCTCAAGCATTACATAACACTCCTCTGAGATCCAGTTCAGTCAGAGCTCTTTGTATTGCACACGAGTGGCCGAACCCCCCTCATCCAGTCCCCGGCCATCCAATCATGTCACCGTCCCGCCTACTCCGTCTCTTTAAATTTGCCTCTGGTGGGCTTCTGGCACGCTACGAAGGTGTACAGAGAGAATCCCTGCTGTCAAGCGCTGGGGGGAACGTTTTCCTTGACGGTTGCAGTGGGAGGGGAGGTCAGTGGGTGGGGAATGGGGAATGGTAGCCGGCATCGCAAATGGGTTTCAAAGCATCTCCCCGTACAGCCTGCAGCGTGCCTGCAGGTCTTCTACGGACCTTGCTGGTATCTATGCAGCATATTCATCGCGCCGCGTTCCTGAGAAACTTGTCGTTCGAATTGCGAGGCATACGAGTGACGTTGGGTGACGCTGTTGTTAAGCCGTCTGAGTGCGCGGGCCCGCTCATAGCGCTTAATGTGTGGGAGCATGGGCATGAATGGGCAGGGGCAGAAAACCAGGCTGATGAGAGGCGTGGCGGCTCTGTTCAGCCTAGGAGGCTTTAGAGGAATATGCCCGCCGTGCTGCTTGCTTGGTGACCGAGGATTTTACACCCCTGGGTAGGGGTTAGATTCTTCGGTTAAATACTCGCACAGCGAGCTTCATCCTTGGATTGAAGGATTTAGAGCATCGGGTCTCTTGGGAGTAGCAAAAAATAAAAAAAATGAGATGAAAAGAAACGGGCCCCTCGGAGTAGTCTACAAAGCCGCCACGAGAAGAGTCTGGGGGGATGAACCTCAGTTTGTGAAGTCCAGTCAGGGATTACGTGGAATATCTTCCCTGTCCTTTGCTATCATGGGTGAGGTACTTGTAACTTGGTCCCATGTGAGTGCTTTAGGCTAGCGTTGATGACGATCTATCCGTTTGGGGTATTGGGAGTTTGTGTCTAACTTGGTCTGTCCTACCACAGGACTCGAGTACGCTGCAGGCTGTCAACCCGTACTCGGGTAGACTACACTACTCGTACAACGCCCCGAACGAAGTGAAGGCCTTTCAGCGCTTCAATGGTGGGGTGAAAGTGGCACTATGACTGGTTTTCCTGCATTCATACTCCTCCCTCATGTCGGCTGTCGGTTCCGACCAACAATTGACTCGTGCAGTAGCATCGCAGAATATGCCTACTCGGATAAAGCTCTTGTCAACCGTGTTTTTTGCACGGGTGTTTGAAAACAAGATAGGACTACCGGTACCGCAGGAATTTGGGTGCGGTGATTGGGTGGTGTGCCATACCCTGCTATGTGGTTTGCTCTTTCCCCTACGAATCCGTAAGATCTGGCAGTTTTGCTTTTCGATTCTTTCAAAGCGGCTAGGTCCTCGCTTCCTTTATTTGCCCACTTTTCCCGGGGAGGGATTCTCTTACAGCATAGCACACGCTTTAACTATTTAGGTTTTGTGCGGTAGGCTGCTTTGCAGTCTTGGGCGTGTTTCTCCACGTCGACATTTATCGATGATACCGGTATACCGGTACTACTGTACCCGCACTTAGGATTGCTTGTTGATCGCTTGGAAACTGGTCATTTCGGATCGTGTGTGGGTTTTGCGCACAGGAAGCTCTTGTGTCGTGGGGGTATCTCGCCTGTCTCTTCTCGCTCAACCTTCTTCTTTGCGTACGGGCGAGCCGGCAGCCATATACAGTATGCACAGATCGGAAAACTCCTGCGTTCCTTTTTTTCTCGTCCTCCATTTTCCTCTTTTCTCTGCTCTTCTCTTCTCTTCTCGTGCATCCGATTCACCTCCGGGTTTATCCCTTTGCCTCTGTTCTCCGCTCTCGTATCCTCTCGATACTGCTTGCTTCACCTCACCACCTCTCACTTCTGGACTTCCAACATCTCGTTCACGTCCTTTCGATAGTATAATGAGCTATATTCACCGGTAAGTAGAATCGTCGTTCGTCTCACAAGGAAAAGAAATACAGGTACCTACCCAAGCTGTTTGATTGTAAGTTAAGGGCCAAGTGAGCACCGGTGATTCGCAATAGAATTAACTTACTGCCCAATTGTGGGGTGCCGGCTGCCATCGCAGTTAATCTCCATTAGTGAATATATGTTCTTCCCGCTAAGGGGACCCTGCGTTTAAGAGGGTCGTTTGCTTGTTACTTTTGTTAGAGTGATTTATAGTTTGGGCATTGTGCCTTTCTGCCGAAGGTTGCGGAGGGTAGATACCAACAGACGCTGCAAGTAAATTTTCCGTGCCAATGACGAAGGAGACTTGGGTATCATAGGCTACTTCCGTTAGTTACCCGAAGAGAACTAGAGGGGCAATGCTGGTTTCACAAAGCCCGGCAAGAATGATTGGACCGAGTGTTCACCAGCGAGGATGAGGAGTGGTGGTGAACACCGCTTGGCTTCACCCCTCTGGAATTCTATCACCAAACACCACCACACCCCATAAACCCACTCTCTGCAGCGTTCCAAGGAGCGAAGAACGGAAAATGTCCCAATATCCGAGTTTCACTACCACGTTGCTGCACAATCCTGATTCTTCGGGATATAATAACAACTCTTTCAATACAACTGGCTCGCTAAATCACAATACCAACGCTCTCAACAATAATAGACACAGCTTCAACACAAACAATAATATTACGGTCACCGATGACAGGTCCGAGATCCTAGCTTGGTTGTCTCGTCTCGAGCCCAACTTACGGCATCATGGCGTTCGAATGCTCCGGGCTCAGAATGTGG